TTTGGTCGCTCTTACCTGCTTGCGTTCCCCTCAACATGTATATCCCAAACCCTCGATACCCGCCTTCTTCGTCTTCGACAGCATCCCCCTAGGGGTATATCTTCCTCACCTGCCACGTACAGTTAGCGCTGCCCCTAAAAAAAAGGTGATGAAAGGACGGATGGGGGAGGGGAAGGATGGAGCACGAGAGAAACTAGCAGGACTCGGGGGCCAGGAGGAGAAAACACGTAGACCCTACAATCAGAGGAGGGTCGGGAAGGCGGGCCAAGGCGGCCAGATCGAGCAGGCGAGTTCCTGAAGCGTGAATTGTGCATGAATCGGAAGTGAGTCTCGAGCACGAGTGCGATTCACAAATAAATCATCAGAAAAGCAAATGCGAGAGCGCGATTCCTGAGCATCGAGGGCTCGGCGTTTGAATAAATTGCGAGGAAGTCCCACGCGAGAGCACGATTCCTACATATATTATCACGAAAGCCTGCGCGAGACCGTGATTGTGAAATGAATTGTGGAGACGTATCAGGCGGGAGCAGCTGGTGTTGTAAACCAGGGGCCAGGGGCACAGTTTGGTGACATTTCACTTTGCCTTGTAAACAACGAGGTGCAAGCCCGGGAAGGAAAACTTCAATTGGAAAATGCAATGGTCACCAGAAGGGGAATCTACAATACTTATTCTTAGGAGTTGAGAACTCAACAACAACAACAACAACAACAACAACAACAACAACAACAACAACAACAACAACAACAATCATTTAAGACTGGGGACACTCCGTTCTCACCAGTGCCAGGGTTTTCATAGGAGGCGGGCAATACCCCCACTTTGTGGGGGGGCCGGTTCAAGCTCTACCAAATTTCCAAACGACTCTTCGCCACCACCCACACCCAGCTTCCCGCCCTATGACGTTCGGACACTTCACTTCGTGGCATGCGGACGACCGTGGCTACTATTCAGGGCCCCGCGGCCGACGACGACGGCGTGCGCGCGCGAAGAAAAAACGAATGTGTCCCGCATGGTATTATTTGACAGGGATGATGGCCCTGGCAGGTGCGCAACCGTTGTCGCAGAAGTTCGAAAAAGTTGCTCGCAAAAGCCCGTTTGACAGAAATGTTTAAAAAGTGTTGGGTTTCCTACGAATCCGCAAGAGCGCGCGGGATGAGATTTTGACATTTTTTTTTGAAAAACCATTGGTTTTTTGATGTTTTTATGTTAAAATCGCTGCGAACACTAAGGTTTTGGAAGGATTTCGTCTTGCGCGCGCGAATGTCCACTTTACCTTATTTTTTGCAAGGGATTCTTGAAATTTGATTATATTAGAACAAGAAATGTCATTTTCTATTGTTTTTTGCAAGGGAAAGCGGATTACAACAAAACAACCGGATCCTGTACACACCCTCTTTTCTGAGGCTTCCTCACGAAAATGATGAAAATGTAGCTGCGGCCTAGGCGGCGCAGGGGGGGCGCGCACCAGGGGGCCCAACAATAATTATTCTTTAGAATAAATAATGTTCAACAACAACAACAATAATAAGTTTAAGACCGTTCGCCGTTATATGCTCGAGTGTCCAATAACGCGTATTTCCCAAACCCTCGATACCCACCCTCTTCGTCTTCGATCGAACCCCTTTTGGGGGGTATACCTTTCTTCCCTGCAGGCAAAGCCCCGGCAAGCGGCGGGGCGGCCGCGGACCGTCGGCCTGGCCAGTGGCAGCACTGATCGGCGGGGCGGCCGTGGACCGTCGACCCAACCCCAAGAGGGACGGACAGGGGACCGACCACGACGACGACGACGACGACGACGACGTCGAAGACGACGGCGACGACGACGACGACGGCGACGACGAGCGAAAGCGAGAGCGAGAGAGAACGACAGCAGGGCCACGAAGGGCACGAAGTAGGCCACGAAGGGCGACAGCGGGGACACGAAGGGAATGCGTATGGGGCCACGAAGAGCGCGAACGAGCGGGGGCCACGAAGTGCAGATAATGCGGGGCCACAGAAGGCAACTATGGGGCCACTGAGGGTAGCAACTGGGCCACGTAGGACAGTGAGGGGGACACAAATGGCGACAGCGGGGCCACGAAGGGCATGCACATGGGGCCACAACGGGCGCGACTCCTGGGTGCCTGGGTGTCGGGAGCGCGGCGCTTGGGCAAATTGCAAGAAAAACAACCGCAAGGCCCTTCTTCAGTCAGTTGCAAGCAAGTCTCCAGCGAGAGCGCGACTCCAGAGCGCCGGGAGAGCGATTCCTGCATAAATTGTAAGGAAGTCCCAAGCGAGAGCGCGATTCCTGAATAAAATGCGAGGAAGTCTCGGGCGGGAGCGGGGGCCTTGGCTGAATTGTAAGGAAGTCTCAAGCGGAAGCTGTTGTTGTTGTAACCCGGGGGCCAAGGGCCCAGTTTGAGCAGGAAGATTTTCCCTGTCAAAAAACAAGGTGCGAGCGTCGAGGGGCACACTTTGATTAAGAAAAACAATATGCACCGGTGGGGGGGGGATCAACAATAATTATTCTTCAGAAATGACAATTCAACAACAACAACAACAACAACAACAACAACAACAACAACAACAACAACAACAACAACAACAGCAGCAGCAGCAGCAGCAGCAGCAACAGCAACAACAACAAAAATTGAAGATTGATCACTCTTGTCTGCTCGCGTACCATTCAACACGTATATCCCAAGCCGTCGATACCCGCCCTCTTCGTCTTCGCTCGTACCCTCCTTAGGGGTATATCTTTCTTACCTGCAGCGTGTATTTCGTGCAGCCCCAAGACAGGGGAAGAAAGGACGAATGACAAAGAGACAAGGGGCAGGCGGGTTGCTGAAGCGTGCATCCTGCATGAATCGCGAGAAAGTCTCGAGCGATAGCGCGATTCCCAAATAGATTGTGAAAAATCCACAGCGAGAGCGTTGTCGAGGGCGCGGCGTCCGAATGCACTACAAGGAAGTCCCACGCGACAGCGCGATTCCTCTATAAATCATCCGGATATCCCGCGCGAAAGCGCGATTTGGAAACAAATTGTGCGGAAGAATCAGGCGGGAGCCATTGTTGTTATAGTTCGGGGCCCAACAACCCAGTTTGGTGACCCTTCATTTTCCCTTTACATATAATAACAAAAGAGAAAATGCGAGCCCCGGGAGAAGCGATTTAATTTAAAAAAACGCAATGAATACTGGAGGGGGCTCTACAATACTTATTCTTGAAAAATGAGAACTCAACATCAACAACAACATTGGACCCGCAGCAAAGATCACTCCAGCGAAAGGTCACTCCTATAGAGGCCTCCTAGATATGAGTCCGAGTAGATGGGGTCAGAGGATATGTTTCATTAGATATATGTATATAAAGTTTGCTATACATTCAAAAACGTTTTTATATTTTTCTATTTGTCTCACGAACAAAACCAAAAAAAAAAAACACTAAAAAACACACCAACAAAAAACGGAGCCCTGTGGACCCCATCTTCCTGCGTCAGCCTGCGAGCCGCCTCGACCCTGCGAGGGCCCCGAGGGGGGGGGGCGGGGCCGCCAAAAAGAGGACCCCGCCCGGCTCGACGGACCCGAGACGCCCAGGCTCCCTCGGGGGAGGGCCGACGCGGCCCCGCCAGGGCTGGCCCGCCCGCGCGCCCCCGCCCCGAGCAGCGGCACGCGCGGCGCTCCCGCATGCGGCGGGCGGCCCGTCGGCGGCGCCGGGCGACCGCCGAGGCGCCCAAGAGGGCGGGCAGGGCCTGGCCTCCGGTCGGGCCTGTCCTCCCACAGGCAGGTTTTGGACGAAGACTTAAACAAGGCCCAACAGATACTCCAACATGATTTTTGCATTTTGTATTTTTTATGAATATCAATATATAAAAGATAAAAAATACAATAACCCCCCCCCAAAAAAAAAGTCCCACGACGATTTTACTGTTTTTGAATACTCCTCCTGTGGAGGGGCAGGCCCGACTCAGGCCTGGCCTGGGCGGCCGCGCCAGCGCGCCCTCGCCCGACCGGCGGCGGCGCGGGCAGCGCTGCCGCACGCGCTCCGGTGCCCCAGGGCCGTGCGGTGACGGGCCGCGTGGTGGCCTCGGCGTCCCCGAGGACCGTGTGGTGACGGACCGTGTGGTGACGGACCGTGTGGTGACGGACCGTGTGGTGACGGACCGCGTGGTGACGGGCCGCGTGAGGACCCGACCGCGCGGTCCGTCCCCGCACGGTGTTGGGGGCAAGCGGCAGAAGCATAGAGAAGCTGTTGGCGCTCCGCGCGGACTTCTCGGATCTGCGCCGGAGCCCCCCTGGCTGGCGCGCTGGGCGCGCCGGGGGCGGCGCCGGAGGCGCCGCCAGGGGGGGCCCAGCGCGGATGCAAGAACTCCGCGCGGAGCGCCAAAAGTTCTTCTGTCTGTGTAGTTGTTCCTTCTTCAAATGGAGGCCCCTCGGCGCCCGAGACGTCCTCAGAGAAGGGCCCGAGTCCCCCACAACCCTGCGGTGACTCCGAAGCCCCACCGGCTCACCACGCGGTGTGGTCACCACACCGCTTCGGGGGCCCCTGGGTGCGCGGCGGGTCGCAACCCTGCGGTGACTCCGAAGCCCCAGCGGCTCACCACGCGGTGTGGTCACCACACCGCTTCGGGGGCCCCCGGGCGTGTGCGGCGGGTTCGTGTCGCGAAGACGCCGGCGCTTGGCCTCTGGCACCGCGTTGATCGTTCGAACTGGAACGATTCCCCCCTCCCTCCTCCCTCCCTCCTCCCTCCCTCCTCCCTCCCTCCTCCCTCCCTCCTCCCTCCCTCCTCCCTCCCTCCGCGCGGATCATTCCATGTTGCACGAATGGCCGCTGGTGGCGTTCGCCCACGGTGCAGTGGTCGCCGAGTCGACACGGCACGAGCCTACCGTACGCCGTTCCGGGCTCAGGGAGGGCCCCGGCCAAGTTCGATGACGGCGTGTTGTCGGCGTCCCCAAGATGCGCAGGAGGCACTTGGAGTGCCCCAGCAGCGAGACTCGGCCGAAAGAGCAGAAGGTTCGGCCTGGAGCCGCGAGTCTTCAAGACGCTGCTGTAGCGGAAATTGGTCTGGAACATCGCGCACAAGCGTTGCAGCTGCCTGCGAGCGCAGAGGGACCAGGGTCGTCGTCCTCATCCACCTCAACCTCGTCCTCCACCTCCCCCTCGGCTTCTGCTTCCCCCACCCCTTCATGCCCTTCGCTCCCTCTGTACACAATCCCTTCCTGCTCCTGTCCAGAGAACCATCCCACGTCCCATCTCAAGAACTCATGAGGAGGCTACGGCGTAGATGACTGCATGGAGCTCATCTGCCCTTCGTCCCCGTCCCCGCCTTCGCCACTGCCCGAGTTCCTCTTCTGCTTCCGTCTGTCCCTCTCTCTCTCTCTCTTCCTCTCTCTCTCTCTCTCTCTCTTTATCACTCTCTCTCCCCGCCGTCGCTTCGACGTCCACTCCTCGTGCCCTGTTCGGTCTCGAGCGTGCTCCTGCCTGGCAAGAGGACCCCACAGTGCTCCCCGATGGCCCTGGCCGAGAAACAAGACACGCGCCCGAGCGACGCGAGGTCTATGATCATCTGTCGGTGCGCCCGAGTGTTGGATGCTCGTTCTGGGGACCTTCCTGGAGCCACTCGCTCCACTCGTGCGTCGAAGCTGCGTCGAACGTCCGTCGATTTGGGTCGACCCTGAGGCCAACCTGAGTCGAACCTGAGTCGAACCTGAGTCGAACTTGAGGCCAACCTGAGTCGAACTTGAGTCGAACTGGGGTCGAACAGATCCGTCAGGTGGGCTACAGGAAGGTCCCCGAAACGAGCATCGAACGAGTGTGGCCATCGCCGGGGCGATGGCACCAGCGCTGGGCAGGGGATGCGGCCGGCGCCGACGGGAGGATGCCAGCCACCGGTCGGCCGCGCGGCCAGCGCTGCGGGCGAGAGCACAGCGACGTCCAGGCAGATTGGGGCGCCGAAGGCCGACGCCGTCCGGGTCGCCGCCGTCGTCGGCCTTCGATCGAGGAGGGAGGGCCGAGGCTCCAGATCCTCGGAGGACGCCTGGGGCCCTCTTGCGCTCCCCCACGAGGCCCCTGGAGGCGTCTCCGGGGGCCTCCTGGGGATCTCTGGAGAGACCTCCGGAGACCCCCTCTCGGCGGTGGACGAACCTCCCTTTAGTAAACCTCCCCTCAGTGAAAACGGCCTGGGACCGAAACCGACGGACCTGGACCCGCAAAAATGACGGCCGCGACGCCCTCTCGCGAACCGAAGACGGCAAATTCCTCAATCGACGTGTCAGGGTAGGAGGCCTATCCACCTCCGACCTCATGAGGCCCCCGGAGGCATCTCCGAGGGCACCCTGGGGCTCTCTGGAGAGACCCCGGGGAGACCTCCAGAGGCCTCCGGCGACCTCCAGGAAAGAAAGACCTCCGAGAGGGCTCTCCGGAGAGGCCTCGGCCCTCCTGCCTGGGAGCCGCAGCTCCTCACGGCGCGAGGGACCTGCGGCAGGGCATCAGTGCCGCCCCCCCCGCCCCACCTCTGCGATTTTTGGCGGCGCGCAAAGGGGGTAGGGGGAGGGGGGAAGGCTTCTTAGAAGCATCCCGCTTCTTAGAAGGCCTCGGCCTTACGTCTATAGAGAAGGCCCGCGCCTTCTAAGAAGCAGGGGTGCTTCTAAGAAGCCTCCCCCCCTCCCCCTACCCCCCTCTGCGCGTTGCCGACTGTTTGAGAGAAACAAAAAAGGGCCCACGTGCCCCAGTGATGAAGTGGAGCGCCGGCTCACTCGAGGAAGGAGAGAGACCCAGAGAACCGACGCTTCAAAAAAAGAATGCAGCGGGCGGTTTTCGGTTGTTTTCGGCCTCCAGGGGCCCTCGCCAGGCCCTAGGACCGTCAAAAAACGACTCAGGACGAGAAACCAGTCCTGGGGAAGTGGTCCAGACCTCCAGGGCCTGCGCATCGCAAAAACTGGAGCAGCCAGATGTCTGGGGAGACGCGGAGCGGAGAGAAAGGAAGTGTCCGAAAAGCGGGAAGCGTCCAAAAAGCGGGTCTACTCCTGTCCACCCGTCCCCAGGCGCCCCTCTCAGCGCCCACATCATGCTCTCCGTAACGTACTCCTGCCCCTGTATTCCTCTGACTGCTCTGCCACCCTTCCCCGACCATACCACGCAGAATATGGTGCCATGCCTGGTGGAATATGCTCTCCGAAGGCGTGCTGGCGCTGGCAGGGGAGGGAAACAGAAGGAGGCATCGGGCAGATGAGGAAGTGACGAGGACGAGGACGAGGAGGAGGAGGAGGAGGAGGAGGAAGATCAGCATGCGAGAGAGCGAGGGAGACAGGCACGCCCAGGAAGATGGGGCAACGCGCAGGGAAGAAGGTACAGAGCCGCGCAAGGCAATCAGCATCGACAGTGGGATAGACTTGATGGTGCACCGCCTCGTGCGCAGCACACATACGTTGATAGTTCATGGCTTCGTGCCGTTTCGGACTCACCTTCCAGCAACTTCCTGTCGATGCGTCGACAAGTCTGAGCCACAACGCCAACATTCCAGAGAGGGGACTTGCTGATACGTCCCTTCTCAGATCTCGAACCAGCAATCACCACTTCGGCTGGGCCGAACAATGAGAAGCCAAAGCTCTGCGAGGAGCTACCTACACTGAGCCACGCATGTGAAAACCAAATTTGCTATGATGGTGCGCTCCTGGGTGTCTGCGTGCCGGAAGAGTCGCGAAAGTTCCAGGGCCTCGGGATCCCGCTGCACATGAGTATGCAGATCAGGTAACCCAACCCCGAACTCAGAAGGAATCCACCTGGAGACCCGAGCCCGCCCGAAGACAATCCCGCCAGTGCGCGCTCACAAACATACGTCATGAAATGTGGCGCAACATAGCTCTGCTTTCGAAAAGACAACCAGATAGCCAACGAAATCGTCACCTACAATGGTACGCAGGATCGAGTGCTTCTGACTGCAAATACATTGACTGCACGCCACACGCAGACAAAGCCTTGAAAAAGTCTCGCGCACGACAACCACTCTGAGCAAGCTTTGCCGGAACGCGCGAGAACACGAACAGCTGTACTTGCTGCCTCTCACTCTGTAGACGTATCAGAAACTTGGCATCATCAACTCCGCAACGTATGTTCATCCGCAAATGAAGACATCGCTGCGGTCCACCCATGGGTCGGGAGCGACCCTAACAGATCCCTCGCCATGTGGAGTTGATGAGGGTATGGATGAGTCATCCGTCTCCCCCTCCGACGACGACGACGACACCTTGTCCAACCCCAACCACCCACAATTCTGCCATGAGAGATGGTCCTGAAGGAAACGGTTCCTTAATCACATAACTATCTTCAATACCGTAGTTCATCCTGCTTCATTTCAGGTAATCCCGGTGCCCAGGATAGCTCGGAAAGTGCCCCGGGAGAAACCGAAAAAGGCGCAAAACGTGAGCCCCTCTCCCTCGGGACCCAATTTCTTCATGGCGACCCTGAATAATCGGACCTGGGTGATGGGCCAATTTTCCACCAGTAGTACCGTGGGTAGGAGGGGGGAGAAGGGAGGATGGGGAGGTCCTCCCCCTCCTCCTCCTCATCATCATCAACATCACCATCATCACCATCAGCATCATCATCATCATCATCATCATCACCACCATCACCATCATCATATCCTTATCATTATTCATCATCGTCAGCATTAGCATCATCATCAGCAGCAGCAGCATCATCACCACCACCATCATCATCATCATCATCATCATCATCATCATCAGCAGCAGCAGCAGCATCAGCATCATCATCATCATCATCATCATCATCATCATCATCATCATCAGCATCAATGATGCTGATGATGATCATCGTCGTCATCAACATCGTCATCAGCATCATCAGCATCATCATCGTCGTCATCATCATCACCATCATCAGCATCATCACATCACCACCACCACCACCATCATCATCAGCAGCAGCAGTCTGATCATCGTCATCACCACCACCATCATCATCATCATCATCACCACCATCATCATCGTCGTCGTCGTCATCAGCCCTCTCCGACCTATTGTAGTAATGGTGCATGAATGTCCCACCACTGGGACCTCTCTTAGGCTCAGAGAATCCCGGAAAAGACAGGGCATTTATTTGTTCGCCACCGTTTCTAAATATTCTTCCTGTTCCATCCCCGCTTTGTTTCTGCTTCCGTTGCCTTTTTGATTGCGGATCTGGTTCTGGCTCCGATTCCGGCGCCTTTTTCTTTTCCGTTCCGCCGAACCGCTTTCTGAAGGCTTCCAGGATCAAGAGCCAGATTCTCGGAGACGGTTTTAAAAAAGTTATGCCGTTTCCAGGGCCCGCTACCCTGAGTCTCCACCTTCCGCACTTTCCGACCAGCAGGTGGCTGATGTAGTGATATCCTCGAGGGACCAAAACAAACATAAACATAAACATAGATTTTCGGAGCTCCGCGCGGATTTCTTGGATCTGCGCTGACCCCCTGGCCTGGCGCGCGGAGCGCGCCAGGGGCGGCGCCGGAGGCTCCACCAGGGAGGTCCAGCGCGATCCAAGAAACCTGCACGGGGCTCCGAAAGGTGGTGTTTACGCAGCGCGCGCTCCTCGAGGTAGTCGCTACATCGGCCACCTGCAAGCAGGTCGGAAGGCGTCGAGGGCGGAGAGTCCGGGTGAGCCTCTATGGACCTCCAAAGCCGCATCAGAAACATGACTTGGACCAGATTTTGGCCACCCATACTCGCCCTTTCGTCCAGATTTCGCCCAGGCTCCGTCCAAACGTCGACCAAAAATCCGACCACATCCGCACGACCCCCCCCCCAAAAGGCGAAGAAATTGGGGGACCCTCCGAGGCTCCAGGTCGTCGGCGCCGTCGACCAGAGGAGGAAGCGGAGGAGGAGCGCCTGGCCTGAACGCGGAGGGCGGGGCGAAGGCGCTGCCGGCCCCGCCGGTCGTCGAGACCGCGTGCTGCCCCACCTCGGTGCCGCGGGCTGCCCCGAGCAGATGCCGTCAAGCTGCTGCAAGAAGTGAAGGAGAGGATTCATCACGCGCCAGTGGGCGAGGCATAACGGCAAGGGGTACGTGCCCCACAACTTTCGCTGCACCGACCTTGCAGACGTGCTGCAGCGGATTTTCGGTGTGGATTTCTGGCAATGCAGAACCCTGAAACGGCGAGCGAAAAACGAAGTGAATTTCCTGTGGATTTTTGCTTTAGTCTTCATTCCGCGCCAAAAAATCCGCACGAAATCCACCTCGAAAGCCGGAACGAAATGATCCAGGACACTGGGCCCATCCTTTCGTTTTTCCGAACGAAATCCGCTCTGCGATGTTGGCGCCATGACAAGTCGGCGTGGTCGGCGATGGGGCCAGACCTCCTCCCCCTGCGGAGGGAAGGAGGAGTGATGGGGGAAGAGGAAGAGGAGGAGAGGAGGAGGAGGAGGAGGAGGAGGAGGAGGAAGCGGAGGAGGAGGAGGAGGAGGAGATTCAGCCGCCAGCTCCGTCCGAGGCGTCCACTCCGCCTCCCGCCGCGCACGGCGCGGCCTCCGAAGAGGCGCCCGGCAAGCCGTGCGCGGCGCTGTTTCTGCTCGCGCCGCTGCTGCTGCTGCTGCTGCTGCTGCTGCTGCTGCTGCTGCTGCTGCTGCCGCTGCCGCTGCCGCTGCCGCTTGCCGCCGCCGCCGCCGCCGCCGCCGCCGCTGCTGCTGCTGCTGCTGCTGCTGCTGCTCCTGCTCCTGCTCCTGCTCCTGCTCCTCCTCCTCCTCCTCCTCCTCCTCCTCCTCCTCCTCCTCCTCCTCCTCCTCCTCCTCCTCCTCCCCTCCCCCGAACTTACGTCGGCAGAGAGGGCCAGCGCCTTCTAAGATTCTAAGCAGCAGGGGTGCTTCTAAGAAGCCTTCCCCCCTCCCCCATACCCCCCTCCGCGCGCGGCCGACACTCCCCGGACCTCTCCTGGGGTGCGCTCTGACCAGAATTCCGAGGCGAATCCGGCGGTGGCGACGAGGGCCTCCCAGGAGGCCCAAGAGGGCGAAGGCGAGGCAAGGGTGGCGGTTTGGGTGCTCCAGGCTTCACCACAAGAGGGCAGTGGTCTGACTTGGGAGGTGATCTGACTTGAGCTGCCTTGGAGGGTTCCATGGGGGTCTGGGCAAAAGGCCGAGTATTCATGGCTGATCTGGGGGGTCGCTAGAATTGCCCGTCTGGGAGGGTTGTGACCCCCCCTCCTTCATGGTGGGACTTGCGGTGCAGTCGGACCTAGGCCAGAAGAACATCCTTCAAGAACGTGAGACCCTCCGCCTGCCAAAACACACACACACACACACAGAGAACATCCGAGGGCACCCTCCCCTAGAGCGCACGAGAACGTCCAACAACCACGGAGAAAATGAGGGCACCCTCCCCGAACCGACCTCGATCTCATACCTCGGTCCGACCTGTGCGCCCCTCCTTCACTTCTAGTCGTGCTCCTTTCTGCTCGTGCTCGTCTCCCATTGCTCCTGGCCCCCTAGTGGCCAGGAAGAGGCCCAGGATAGAACAATTAGGAATGAAAGGATCCTGGTCCCCAGTGTGAACCTGTTCCTCCTCTGAAATGAGGGGAAATTGGGACACACAAATAAATACACACAAATAACCAGATTCCCCATGTTTTCCCATATTTACTGGGTTTCTGTCTTCCCCCCCACTTCCCATATTTTCAAATTTTTCTGGGGAATCGATGATTGATTGTGTCTGTGTGTTTTTTCCCCTCCTCTGCAAAGCGGCAACCGCAACCGAGGCCGCCGAGCCCGCGGCCGTCAGGACGCTCCGCTCGGGGGCCAGGCCCGCCTCCTCCGGCTGCGCGTCCTGCGGGCGCCGCTGCCGGCGCCGCCTCGAGGCTCGAGGCGGTGGATGCTCGAGGATCGCCCGATCGACGATCGAGGCCTTGATCGAGGCTCGAGGCTCGAGGCCCGAGTCGATCGATGATCGAGGATCGCTCGATCGATGATCGAGGCTCGAGGCTCGAGGCTCGATCGAGGCTCGAGGAGCTGGTTGCGTGATAATCGACCCCTTACCAAAAAAACATGATGTTTTGTTTATCACGTCGAATCGCAGGATCGGCCTCGGAGAGGCCTGTCGTCGGGCCCCGGGCCCATCAAAGACGGATCTGGGGCGAAGGACTACCCCCTCTGTTGAGCGTTTTCTTATTCGACGTTTCGACATTGGGCAGAAGGAAGGGGAGGGGGGGGGGTCTGGCTCCGGACATCTGCTTAATGCGGCTGTCTGCAAGAGTGCGTCCCACAAGGGACGGACTCCACCTGCCTTAAACAGGCGCCAGAAACAGGCAAGATCTACTCCACGGGGAGGGGGGGCAGGGGGGGGTGCGAGGGCCCGCGCCGATCGGCAAAAGAATGAATTAAAAAACGCTCACCTGGGGAACGGGTCGGGACCTTTTGGACCGCGCATTTATCACTCCATCGGATACCTGTGGACTCAGGCGACGCAAAACGAGACAACAGCGAGCACGCAACGAAATATCGGCGACCTGTGCCCCCGATCTGGGCCGTCAGATCCAGGCGATCCAGGCCCTCAGGTCTAGACCTGGACCCGGTGGCCCAGGGTGGTGAGGTACAATCCGATCCTAGCTGGCGTTGCAACAAATTAAAACAAAACTAGTTTTTTATTCGGCGTTTCGACATTGGGCGGAAATGGGGGGAGGGGGGGGTCTGGCTCCGGACCTCTGCTGAGTGCGACTGTTTGTGACAGTACGGCCGATGGGGGAGGGACCCCACCTGTTCGAAACAGGCGCCTAAAACAGCCAAGATCTACTCCAGGGGGAGGGAGGGGGGTGCGAGGGCCCGCGCCGATCGGCAAAACAACTGCGACTGCGAACTGCGAACTGCGACCTGCGAGAATGCACCGCGAGGGTGCCGCAGGGAGGGGCAGAAGCGCCCAGGTTGAGGTGAAACATACAGACAATGCGTGGCAACATGATTAAAACCTGTTGTGTTTGACGTTTTCGGCGTTCGGGGGGGGCCGTCTGCAGGAGCGCCCAGACTCGAATCGGTAAGCAAGTCGGACCTCTCTTTCCTTCGGGCGCTTTCGCAGCCCCCTGGTGACTCCGATCTACTTTGGCTGCCGCTCACTTGCGGCACAATAGCTGCCAGCCCTTCATGCCTCTGACAACGTCAGTTCCCACCAGGCCCGAGGTCTGCCCCAGACTCGCGGGGCTCCCAACCGCAACTCCTTCGGGCGTTTGCAGGACTGGGTTTAGTGGGACCTGGTTAAATAATGCGTACTGGGGGACGCCCCCTCGTCCCATTCCACTAGCCGGAACTGCCGTCACCCGAAAAAAACACCAGCTACGGCAGACCTAGTTTAGTGATTCTGGCCAATTTAGGAGCTCTGGGGCCCTATTACTAACCGGGTCCCCTTACCTGGGGTCCTGGCTATACTCGACTCCTGCCCGTGCGATGCGATCAAGGGATGCCAGTTCAGCCACTCCGCGCCGCGATAGCTGAGCACGCGAATGTTTTGCATCCTGGCGATGCGACTTCAATGCAGCGTCGACAGCAAGCAACTGCAAAGGCAACCATGCTTTGGCACGGTCAGCCACACGAGTCGGCGTCGCACTTGCCGCCAGAAGCCTTCAGGAGGAGGAGGAGCGCTCATCTAGCAGAGTGGACCTCAAACTAGTACAGACATGTTGGCAGGACTAGTCTCAGAAGTGATTGTCAAAGTGTGGACTGGATTACTCCAAGCACCACAATCATCCGTGATGTAGAGTGTGCCTGCAACGTTGCCACTGGGGTCAACGAACGGCGTCGTGGAGTTCCCTCGCACTTTCTTTGTGCCAGTGGTGCTGTTGCCATTCCCAGGACAAGAGTCGACGAAGCCGGATTCGCAAGTCCCGAAGACGAGATCCCACAAGTAAGAAAGCTGAAGACAACCGCTGAAAGGTCCTTTGTAGCATACATCATACTCCATCCAACCATAGCCATCCATTGTCCACTCTGCTGTGTTGCCTGAATCAACGCTCTGCGGAGGCCATTGATCAAAGAATCCATACGTGTTGCTGTAGTAGGTCTAAGACAAATCAACACCATCTGCTTTGTTGTAGAAGAATATTGTCTCACTTGCCAGAGGCTTGAGGTCTTTTTCACCTGTGCCGAATACACCCATGGGCGTGGCCAGCACCAAAAGCACACAAACGCAGTTGCGCAACATGAGAGGCGTTCCAATGCGATGGGAATGGGAAGAGTAAGAGTCACACAGACAGCCTGGCTTATCCAAAGCACTTGAGCCAAAATGGTTACGGAGGAGGAGGAGGAGGAGGAGGAGGACTCTGAGAAGGAGGAAGAGGCGAGAACAGAAAAGACGGAGTCTCATGCATCACTCTCACCGCGCCGCCCCGCAATCGCCGACGAGCTTTCCCGCAGCTGCCCTCGAGAAAGACATAAGCTTCTCTACGCGATGGGTCTTCGTCGTTTGCAGCTCGTTGCGACTGCTATTCTATGCCATCAAGAAACAGGAAACAGGAGGATGAACATCCTGGCGATGCGACTTGAATGCAGCGTCGACAGCAAGCAACTGCAAAGGCAACCATGCTTTGGCACGGTCAGCCACACGAGTCGGCGTCGCACTTGTCGCCAGAAGCCTTCAAAAGGATGAGGAGGAGGACTCTGATGAGGAGGACGGGGAGGAGAGAACAGAAGAGACGAAGTCTCATGCAGCACCCTCACCGCGCCGCCCCGCAATCGCCGACGAGCTTTCCCGCAGCGGCTTGCGAGAAACAGATAAGCTTCTCAACGCGCTAAATATTCTTCGCTTGAAGCTTGTTGCGGATGCTATTTTACAACTTTCCCAACGTGTGTCCCTGAAAGTCTGGTCAAGGACATCTGATTGCACCCCTTCCTTCCTATTACACTGGCAGCGGTCGTGCGTGGTGCTGGGGTAATAGAACCTCTTGTGAATCTTTCTGAGGCGGCAGTCAATAAATTTGTCCATCGACTGCTGGATCAAGCCAACATATTCATGGGCGATCTGATTCACGCGCGGTTTCAAATCATCCATGAAGACAAGCCTAGCGCCGGCGGTAGTGGTAAATACGTTGAGCTGAACCTCAGCATAAATTCACTGTATCTCCACAGACACTTCATCGTGATTCCAGCGGTCGAAGTCGTCGTAAGTCGGCTCAGAACTGCCCTTCCCCTGAATGGAATTATCCAGCGACGCGCCAGCGTCATGCGTCCTGATAATCAAACGGTTGCTGGAGGTTCCACTTTCCACCAGAGCTGGTTTAACGGAATTGTCAGGATACGCATCTGCACCATGCGCGCCTATCATGCCTAGCCGTTGGAAGCTGGAGTTCGCCTCCATCAAAATTGGCCTGGTGATACTTGTCCACGATTTCTTACCAATACATACATCATGGAAAACCAACGACTTCTTTGTTGCCAGATCGCGCTGGACAATCAACCACCAAGATATTCCAACCTCGGAAAGTGTTTTCTCCACCATGCCTGGCATCCAACTCAACTCTTCGACGAGGTCCTTCAGCTGGAGGTTGAGAGTACGAGCTCTGTCCCTTCTGGTATGTTTGTCAAGCTCCTTCATGATGGCCGCGGTGAGAGCATCGTTTGGATTGCCACCCAGGAAACTCATGAACATCCCTGCGAAGGAAAAAGGATCTGGGTTGATCAGACCTACAATTGATAAGGCAGTTGACGCCAGGGCTTGCAAGGAAGTCTCAAAGTCTTAGCCCTGCACGAGATTCATGAAGAGACCCGCAGCGCCACCGGCAACTTTCCCCGCGAATTCATTGGGATTGACACTGCTAGGGCAGCAAACTCCATTGTAAAGTGGCCGACTGGAGGCATTCGACCTGGCATCAAATAGACTCGTCCTCGTCGACTGTGCCTGCTCAAGAAGATCGACTCGTCGAAGCTCCTCCGAGGCGTATGCCAGAAAACGACCATGAAGTAGCGGATCGTCGACCTGCAAGTGCAGATGCTCCAAGTTCCCGTCGCGCAGCGCCTCGAGCTTCTCCTCGACCCGGCGCTTCTGCTCGGGCAGCCCTGCCGTCCAATCGATTGCGGCCATGATGCTCGAGGTGCCCACATGATCGTCCTTCAGCTTGACCGCAGCAGATTTTTTGGCAACGCCGTGGCCTTTCTGATCGCCGCGTGGGCCATCGACTCGGAAAGGTTCGGCCAGGGCGCTCTTGCTGCAGAGATCCTGAATGTCGAGTGCGCTGAAAACGTCATCGAGTGTGCACTCGTCTGCGTCTTTGCAGCAGTTCTTAGGCGAGTCTTGACAGCTCGATGTATTTCCACTGGCACGCGAGATGTCCAAGCACAATACCTCCTCTGTAGTATGTTGTCTTTTTTTCGCTGCCATATTTGGCACGGACCTCTGCACATGAAAAGCCCCTTCCTTTCCAAACTTTATGCTTCCGTTCCGATAGTGCTGACCAGTGAGCTGATCATCGTAGTCGACCCCATCCTTCTGAATAGATTTTCCTTCAAGGGGCTCCGTCTGCGCAATGTCCACCGTGCCATCTGGCAGAACCGATGCTGCTACACTGGCCGATGTCCAAAACTGAAGGAACGCCCCCAGGAAGCAGCGTACAGTTACAATCCTCGAAGCCACCTGTCCGAAATGATCAAAAAAGACCGACACGCTGAAAGGTCTCTCGTGAAATTCTTGTGAATCGCACTCGGCGCTGACGCCTGGACGACTTACGCCAGTGCTGCCTGGCTTGAGCCTTGAGCCAACTTGCTACTGAGCTGGCCGGATGTCGAAAGTAATGGCAAGGAGCTCGCGCTGCGGGCGGTCGAGGCTGCTGGCGTACGTTCTCTGGTACGGCCACCGCGTGAAGCGATACATGGCTGTGCTCAGTAATGACTACCTACCAAACCACCCCAACCCAACCCGAAGACCCAAATCGCCCGTCATCGCCCAGGAACAAACAAAAAACGCTCTCATGCTCGAGAGCCGCGGGGGCCGCAGCCACGAAAAGATTGCAGCGTCGGAGAAAAAAATGGCAACCTCAGACGCTATCCTCCTCCTCCTCCTCCTCCTCCTCCTCCTCCTCCTCCTCCTCCTCCTCCTCCTCCTCCTCCTCCTCCTCCTCCTCCTCCTCCTCCTCCTCCTCCCTCCTCCTCCTCCTCCTCCTCCTCCTCCTCCTCCTCCTCCTCCTCCTCCTCCTCCTCCTCCTCCTCCTCCTCCCCTCCCCTCCTCCTCCTCCTCCTCCTCCTCCTCCTCCTCCTCCTCCTCCTCCTCCTCCTCCTCCTCCTCCTCCTCCTCGGAGGGTGTGCCCGGGGGCGGGGGAGGGGCGGAGGTCCCCGTCTACGAGGGCAGCTCGCGCAGACCAGGGAAGACGATCACGACGACGACGACGACGACGAGGACGACGACGACGAGGACAAGGACGAGGGGCGGCAGTTTAGCGATCCGTGGATCTGGCGCGCGGTCGCCGAGTCCACGGATCGGGGGAGAGGCGCCCTCCCCAAAAGGCGGCGGGGGGCCGCCGAAACCTGCGGCGGGGAGCCGCGATTTCTCCCACGGAAACGGGGCCCGTCGCTGATCCACGCCCCCCTTGATCCGTGTCTGCGATCGCCCGATGCACGAGGGCAGCGCGCCAGACGAGGGGGGAGAGGGAGATCGCCCCCTGTGCATCAGTCTGGTGGGGCGACTGCGAGGAGCCAGGCCACCCCACGTCTGGGAGGCCAGAAGGTGCAGCTGCGGGCGGCCTCGAGCACTGGAGCGAGGCGCGCTCTCTTCCCCCGTGGCCCATGTCGAGGGTTGATGCAGGGGCCCAGGGACACACAAATCAATACACACGAATACCAAAATATTGCCCATATCTTATCGTATGTTCTAGATTGTCGTCTTCCCCTCCACTTCCCACGTTGTTTCCCACATCTTCCTGGGGATCGACGATACATTGTGTGTCTGTGTGTTTTTGTTCCCTCCCGAGGTTGAGGGTCCCGGCCGGAGACGCGAGGAAGCCTCGCGGAACAGCTCGCTCCCTCCGAGCCAGCGGAGCCTCTCGCGCCGACGTCCCGCCAGGTGCTCCCCCTGGCACCAAAATATCTCCAACGAGGCGACTTCGTCGAACCAAAAAACTCCAACCCCAGCTCGTCCACCGCGACTGACATCAACGACGGCGATACGTCCTTCGGCTACGCGCAAGAGTGACCCTGGGTGAGAGTGACCTCTGGTGCGCGGCTTTTCGGGGGGCGCGGGGAGACCAAACCTAGGCGCACAAGCCGCTGCTACCGCTTCGTTTGCAGCCATCTGAGGGCCCATCTGTGCCCGCACCAGAGGTCACTCCGGCGAAAGGTCACTCTTACGTCTAGTCGAGTCCTCATCCTCGGCAGCAGAAGAGGGACATCTGCGACGCCGGCCTCCGGGGCCCGCTTCCGGGCCCCAGGACGAGCAAAAAAAAGGATCCAAGGCGACAAAGCGGCCCTTGGGAAGGGCGTCGGCACCTCCGGGGCAGGAGCACCGCGGGCTGGCAGGCGGCGGCACACGCCCCTTCCCTGCGGGCCGTACGGTCAAAAACCCTACTAAGGACGCGCGACTTTGCTCAGGGTACCCTTGCGTCCTTGCTCTTCCTTGCTCTTGCGTCCTTGAGGTTTTCGTCGTCCGCCGCCCCAAAAATGCCAAGTTCCGCTTCCAAGGGTCTTGCGTCCTTGCCGCGCGTCCTTATTAGGGTTTTTGACTGTATGGTCAACACGCCCTGCGCAGCGCCCAGGACGGAGAGAAGAGAGAGCCGCAGGAGGACCTGCATACTTGAAGGGGCCCTGGGACACACAAATATATATATATATATATATATATACACACATAACAGGATTCCCTATATTTTCCCATGTTTTCTGGGGGGGTGTCTTCCCCCCCCACTTCCCATATTTTCCCATATGTTCCTGGAAGTCGACGATTAGTTGTGTCTGTCTGTTTCTTCCCCTCCTGCATACTGGAGTCAGGATGTCGCCACGTTCGCACTGCTGTGGCTCGGCCGCGCGCCGGGAGCGCCCGCTCTTCGGCGTCCCGCCCTGGCCCTGGGCTGCTCGCGCAACGTGGGCGCGATCATATCATGCACGCCTTCGCGTGCACGTCGCAGGCACGGGAGGGCGCGCAGGCATGCAGGTGTGCACGTGGCGCGCGAGCCTGCGAAGTCGACGGCCACCCGCGAAGACGTCAGTCGATCACTCCCGTCGCTCATTCCCGCCGCTTCGCGATCGTCGACGTCGCTCACTCCCGTCGCCGTCGTCAGAATTAACCATGTACGCGCATGCCCTCTGCCCCGACTGCAAAACACAGACCCGCAGCCGCTCCTCGCCGTCCCCTGCGTACAGCCAGAGGAGGACGGCTGTCAAGAAGACCACCACTACCTCAGCTCGGACACTCCAATCGGCGACTCCAGAGGGTGTGGTGTGCAGTGGGTGTGGTCTGCAACCGGCACCCTGGGGACCATCCTGGGGGGGCACCCTTGGGGGGCGCGCGGGGACCTCGATAGCGTTCACCCGCGCCCCGAGGAGGCCCGACGAGGACAGTGTCGTGCCCCCCAGGCCCCAACGGTGCCGATCGCAAACCACACCCTGGCGTAACCACACCCTTTGTTCGGCGGTGGACAAACCTCCCTTTCGTAAACCTCCCTCCAGTGAAAACGGCCTCGGACCGAAACCGACGGACCTGGACCCGCAGAAATGACGGCCGCGACGCCCTCTCGCGAACCGAAAACGGCCGATTCGCTAATCGACGTGTCAGGATCGACCTCCGATCCTGGGGGGCCACATGCGAACCCTGCCCCTACCCCCCACGATTTCTGAGGGGGAGGGTGGGGTTCACTTCGTTCGGGGGGAGGGGGGGGGGCCGAGGCCCGCGCGCGCGGCGGCGGAGCGGCCAGGCCCCGCCGACTGGCATCCCACCAGCCCTATGGGCGTGGGCGGTCCAGCGAGAGCTTCGTTTCCTCCTCGAAAGCAAGCCCTCTGCCCCTCGGGGAGGGGCACCCTCCCCCTCCCCCCCCCCTTGGGCCTTTTCGGCGGCGGTCGCGGGGCGGCAGGGGGTCCGCGAGTGTGAGAGCGGGGCGGGCGGGGCCCAACACGCAGCAGCTCAGGGCCACGGCGACCTTTTCCCACAGCGAGCACCACGTTCGGACTGCCTCTCCTATTTTTGTTCGCTGACGATGGCGATGACGACGACGACGACGACGACGACGACGACGACGACGACGACGACGACGACGTCATCGCCATCGTCACGAGAAGAAGGAGAGACGGCATGAGCATACACTTTCGACGTGAGCATCGTTTAACCGATCCCCATCCCCAGCGGCGTGGCCTGGGCCCCGCTGGCCGATTTACCCCCCTAGATGGGGATATAGGTCGTTCCCTTCGGGTTTCGAGGGGTGTATCCCCAACTGGGGTGGTAAGTTGGTGCGGGTCTCGAAGGGGATGGGGATGGGGATGGGGATCGGTTAATCGATGCCGACGACGGTCCGCGCGGATTTCTTGGATCGGCGCTGGACTCCCCTCCCCGGCGCGCGGAGCGCGCCTGGGGGCGGCGACCGAGGCGCCACCAAGGGGGCCCGAGCGCCGATCCGAGAAACCCGCGTGGAGCTCCGAAGTTTGTGCTGATGCCGTTTTCTCTTATTCAACTCTACGCTGACGAAGATGGGACGCACAGAGACACACTAATACTATGTGTCCTCCTTGGGGGCGCGCGTCCGACCCGAACGTATAGTATGCCCATCCTGTAGTAGATCGTTTCCCGAGCGGTGTGGCCAGAAAGCGCCCGCCACGACGCATATACTATACCATTTCTCCGTGCGCGCGTAGCCCCTGGGGGGGCGACGCACATATAGTATGAGTATGCTGGGGTGACGCCGACTCTACGCTGACGAAGACTTTGACGATGACGATGTCACCGCCATCGTCATCGTCATCGCCCCTTGGAGTACCATGCAGGACCTGCTCTAGCAAAGGAACCTCTAGCACAGGAGCATGCCGTGGGCGCATCTGCCCTTTCTCCGACCTTGTGCTGAGCCGAACGCAACGGCCGCGTTGTCTATAGACGCATCTACCCCATCTGTGTCCATACACGTAACAATACCACATGTGTCTAAGAGACGCTTGTGGCCAGAAAGTGAAAAAAAAGGATGTGGCACAGGCCCGAGATGTTGGCCTTCTGGAAGCAGGTAGACGCTGCCCTGCGACCCGGACATCCGCCGATGTGAACTTGTTCAGTGCGCGGCCCCAGAGGTCCCGACCCCATCCCTGGGGGGGGAGTTCTTGGCGGCGCGCACAAGGGGGTAGGGGGAGGGGGGAAGGCTTCTTAGAAGGAGGCTGCTTCTTAGAAGGCGTCTACAAAGAAGGCCCGCGCCTTCTAAGAAGCAGGGGTGCTTCTAAGAAGCCGTCCCCCCTCCCCCTACCCCCTTGTGCGCGTGGCCAGAGTTCTTCGCTCCAGATCCTTTCCTGCCGGTCCTGGGGCCCCACGGCGGACCCCGCAGGCCGAAATCGAGAAAAGACGCCCGGATAGAAGGCATCGCATCGTCGGAGATCTGGGCTCGCGTCGCGGGAGGCTCGCAGCCCAGGCTTCTGGCATCTTCCGGCCTCCACGGGCCTCCCTGAGTGGGGCCCCGGGGACGAGACCCCCGCGGGCCTCGGCCAGATCATCCCTCCTCTTGGCGGCGAGCGAGGGGGGGAAGCGAGAAGAAGAAGGCCTTCTCAGAAGGCGGCGGGACTTCTCAAAGCCCTCGCGCCTTCTGAGCAGTTTTTGTTCGTCTTCGGGGAAGGCCCAGGGAACTCCTCAGAAGCCTGGGAAACTTCCGAGCCTTCTGAGAAGGCCCGCCCCTTCTCACTTCCCCCCTCGCTCGCCGCCGATTCTCTTCCATCCGGTCGTCCCTCCGCCACCCTCCGCCATCACCCGTCTCATTGCACCCGCCTTGCAGACGTGCTGCAGCGGATTTCTGCGTGGATTTCTCCGTGGATTCTTGCCCGAAGCGGCGAGCGAAAAACGAAGTGAATTTCGCGTGGATTATTTTTGGTCTTCATCCCTGGCTAAAAAAATCCGCACGAAATTCACCTCGAAATCCGGAACGAAATTCTCCAGGACACTCTGGGCCCACCCTACCGTTTTCCGAACGAAATCCGCTCTGCGATGTTGGCGCCATGACAAGAGGTCAGCAAGAGAGCCCAGGAGGGCCCCCTGGAGGCCCCACGAGGCCCCCAAGACGCCCAAAAACGAGCTCCAAGAGGCCCCCAAACGACCCCCTGTGAGGCCCCAAGAGGCCGCGAACGCGCAGGCAAACGCCCACGATAGCACAATACGGGCTGGCGGAATGAGCGAAGCGATCCGCCCGCTCCACCGGGTACGGCGTGTGAGATCCACAGCATGGTCTTCCAGGTATGCTCTCTGTAAGTCCTCTCACCAGCGCGCTTTTCATATTAGCCGCGAGCGAGGGGGGGAAATGAGAAGGAGAAGGCCTTCTGAGAAGGCGGCGGGACTTCTCAGAAACCCTCGCGCCTTCTGATAAGTGTTTTTTGAAATTTTCGGGGAAGGCTTAAAAAACTTCTGAGAAGGCCGGGGGACTTCCGAACCTGCTGAGAAGCCCATCTCCCTATCACTTCCCCCCCTCGCTCGCCGCCGATCATACCTGCCCCTACCCTGAGCCCTCACAACCCCTGCTGGAGTCCTCCCGAGCACCCGCTCACTCTGCCGACCCGAGGGCCCCAGCTGCGCCCCGGAGCGCTTTCTGGCCACATGGCCACACGTTTCAAAGACACCTGCTTGGGCGACCGGCAAATGTAATGCTGAGCGTATCGATCTTGACGTACCGTGCCGAGGGCTGTGCTGTGCTGCGCCGTGCTGACTTGCGGTGTGCCATGCCGCGCTTGTGCTCTACAGCGTTGTGGATCGAGTCCTCCTTTGCATCCGAGTCCTGACCGAACTGATCTGGATCTTAAGCTCGAGCTGCTTGAGCACATAGTAGCTGCCCCAGAGCTAATTGTCAGGGGAACCTGCAACGAGGACGCGCCGCGGAACGTCCCAAGGGACGCGCCAGGCGACGTGCCAGGGGACACGCCATGGGGACGCACCGCGGGACGTGCCAAGGGGACGCGCTACGGAACGTGCCAGTGGACGTGCCACGGGACGTGCCAGGGGACGCGCCGCGCGACGTGCCACGGGGACTCGCCACGGGACGCGCCACAGAATGTGCCAGGAAACGTGCCAGGTTGCAATGCTGAGTGTATCGATCTTGATGTACCGTGCCGAGGGCTGTGCTGTGCTGCGCCGTGCTGACTTGCGATGTGCCATGCAGCGATTGTGCTCTACAGCGTTGTGGATCGAGTCCTCCTCTGTATTCGAGTCCTGACCGAACTGATCTGGATCTTAAGCTCGAGCTGCCCGAGCACACAGTAGCTGCCCCAGAGCTAATTAACAGGGGGACATGCAGGAGGATGCGCCGCGGAACGTTCCAAGGGACGCGCCAGGCGACGTGCCAGGAGACGTGCCATGGGGACGCACCACGGGACGTGCCAAGGGGACGCGCTACGGAACGTGCTGGGGACAAGCGTTTCGCTCGAGACATCCTGCCCAAAATCCTCATGCTGGACATCCGCCTGGGCGACCTGGACACGTTAAAACAAGCGTTTCGCTCGAGACGTCCTCAACACATCCTCATGCTAGACATGCGCCTGGGAGAACTGGACACGTCAAAACAAGTGGTTCGCTCGAGGCATCCTCAACACATCCTCATGGTAGACATCAGCCTGGAAGACCTGGACACGTGAAAACAAGCATTTCGCTCAAGACGTCCTCAACACCTCCTCATCCTAGACATCCGCCTGGGCAACCTGGACACGTGCAAACAAGCGTCTCGATCGAGATATCCTCAACACATCTTCATGTTAGACATCCGCCTGGGCGACCTCGACACGTGAAAACAAGCGTCTGTCTCGAGACATCCTCAACAAATCCTCATGCTAGACATCCGCCTGGGCAACCTGGACACGTGCAAACAAGCGTCTCGGTCGAGACTTCTCGCCCAAATCCTCATGCTAGACATCCGCCTGGACGCCCTGGACGCGTGAAAACAAGTGTCTCGCTCGGGACATCCTCAGTAAATCCTCATGCTAGACATCTGCCTGGGCAACCTGGACGCGTGAAACCAAGCGTCTCGCTCGAGACATCCTCAAGACCTGGTCACGTGAAAACAAGCATTTGACTTGAGAGATCCCTTAAATTCGAATTCCCAAGAGAGGAACACAAAACAAGCGTTTCGCTCGAGACATCCTCAAGAAGTTCTGCAAAACAAGCGTTTCGCTAGGGACATCCTCAATATTTTGATTCGCCAGCCCACCCCTTATTCGTTATCTATCGCAAAAAAAATTCGCCGGCCCCCCTCAAGTCGATTCCAGGGGTACGTAAACCTACGTAAAAGAGAACCCTGGGCCCCCGCCCTTTCTGGGAAAAACAGCAATGCCTGCCAATGAGAGGGGAGACCCTCGACCTCCACCTTCCGCAGACCCTCCAGATGCTGCCACGTCGCGAGCAGGAGTGGATTCGCATGTGTGTCCGCCCCTCGGCGCTGCCGCGTGACGAATAGTGGAGCACTAGTTTTGCTTCGCCCCCCGCGTGTTACCGCGTGGCGCGTCGAGGGGGGGGAGGGACGGCCTCAGGGGGTGCCCCCCCAGCCCCCCCTCCCGTGTTTTCATCCGGGCGAGGGAAAGGGAGTGGCGACAATCCACCTAGAGGATAAGCAACAGGTATTCGGCAGACCCTCGACCTCCACCCTCAGCGCGGCCACAGCTGATGCCGTCGAGGCCGGCGGCGGCCTCGGCGGTCGCCGCGGCCGCGCCGCGGCGGCACCTGCTGCGCGGAGGGTTCGGAAGGTGGAGGTCGAGGGCAAGAAGCCTCCTGCCGTCTCCGCAGCCCCACGCCCCTCGAAGCCCCCTCCGCGAACCCCCCCTCGAACCTCGAAGCCCACCCTCGAGACCCCCTCGAACCTCCCCCCTCGAGCCTCCTCCCCCCCGTCCCCCCCCCCCCTCGAGACCTCGAATCCGCCCTCGAAGCCCACCCCCCCCGAATCCCCTCCTCGAGCCCCGCCGCGGCGGCACCGGCTGCGCGGAAGGTTCGGACGGTGGAGGTCCATCGGAGGTGAGAGCTCCAGAACAGAAGAAACACGCGACTCGCCGAACCCCAGACATCTGAGGTCTTGACTGTTCCAGACGGGCCCCCGGAAGTTCCAACCTGTTCTTTCCCCAGGGGCACGGAGCGTGCGAAGGCTGTGCCGAAACGGGCGCGGCGGTGCCGCGCGAAGGCAGCCACTGGGGCCTTCGGCGGAGCTCCCTGTGGGGCCACGGCAGGTGCGAGGGCTGTGCCGAAACGGGCGCGGCGGTGCCGCGCGAAGGCAGCCACTGGGGCCTTCGGTGGAGCCGCCGTCTCGTCCCGAGTCGTTCTTTGACGGCCCTGGGGCCCGGCGAGGGCCCCCAGACGGAGCCAATTCTTCGGCCGCCCACGCCGCCAAGGCATGCCCGTCGGACCGAGCGGAGCGGAGGGCCCTTGGAGGGGAGGCAGCGAGGCCCAAACTGGAGGGAAGGAAAATGCGACTGGGGTGGCAACTCCTGCTCCTCCTCCTCCTCTTCTTCTTCATATTCTTCATACTATTACTATTATTATTATCATTATTATTAGTAGTATTATTATTATGATTATTATTATTAATATTATTATTATTACTATTATTATTATTATTACTATCATTATTATCAGTATTATTATTATTATTAATATTACTACTACTATTGTTATTGTTATTATTATTATTGGTATTATTATTATTATTAGTAGCATTAGTATTATTATTACTATTATTATTACTACTATTATTCTTAGTATTGCTATTAGTATTATTATTACTATTGTTATTGTTATTATCATTGTTATTATTATTAAGATTGTTATTATTATTATTAATAATAATAATAGTAGTCGTATTAGTAGTATCATTATTATTATTATTATGAATAGTATTATTATTAGTATTAGTATTAGTAGTATTATTATTATTCGTACTAGTATTCTTACTATTATTATTCTCCTTATTAGTATTATTCTCATTAATAGTATTAGTTTTATTACTACTACTATTATTATTATTCCTCCTCCTCCTCCTCCTCCTCCTCCTCCTCCTCCTCCTCCTCCTCCTCCTCCTTCTCCTCGCGAGGCAGATCGACGGCTGCCGAAGCCCCCGCCAGCGTCGTCTTGCACACCGGGGAGTTCATCAGCGGAAACCTCCCCGCGCTGCCCTCCCGTTGCTGCTGCTGCTGCTGCTGCTGCTGCTGCTGCTGCTGCTGCTGCTGCTGCTGGGCCCGCCTCGGGGATATATCACCCAGAGCCCCCCCCCGCGCCGTGAGGAGCTCACGACGGACACTTGTTGGACGTCTGGGCCAGCTCGTCCGAGTGCAGCAACGAGACTGGAACTACCAGGACGCGATCCCAGACATGCTCGCGTCGTCAATAAATCACGACAAAACGTGGTTGGCCTTTCTCGGCCTCTGGAGGCCCTCGCCGGGCCCCGGGGCCGTCGAAAAACGACTCGGGATGAAAGACTGGCCTTGGAACATGATCGAAACACGAACATGGAAAGGGATTGAGAAGTGTGAGGCATGGAACCGTTTCTGAGGACCTCAATCCCATATGCAATTGTGCGATGCCAGGGGGGCATACCGGGGGGATGCGCCGCGGAACGTCCCACGAGATGCGCCAGCAGACGCGCCAGGGGACGTGCCATGGGGACGCACAGCGCGGGACATGCCGAGGGGACGCGCTACGGAACGTGCAAATGGACGTGCCACGTGACGTGCCAAGGGACGCGCCGCGCGACGTTCCAGGGGGACTCGCCAAGGGACGCGCCACTGAACGTGCCAGGGGACGTGCCAGGCGACGCGCCAGGGGACGTGCCAAGGAACGCGTCAGGGAACGTGCCCCGGGATGTGGCACGGCGGACCCATGAACGAAGCCATGACGACGGGACCGCGCTCCAAAGGCCACGATCTCGCGTAAACTGCACTGCGTCCGCTCCCCCTGGGCCACGATTACGATCACCCGCGCTCCCAAGACAGAGATCCGTCGTAAATCACGCGACGTCCGCGCTCCCAGGGCCGCGACCCCTCGCAAAGGACACGGGGGCCACTCTCTCAAGGCCACGGCCCCTCGAAAACTACAGGGCAGTTATTAATACATAGGATGTTTAAAAACATTGGATTTTTAATGCATGACTAATGTATGAATGAATTTATGTATGAACTCATCGTTGAAAACATGATGGACCCACGAACCCGGAAAGGGATATAGACATGTGCAGCATGGTCACGTTTTCACGATATCCAACTGGGCGACACCTCACGAAACATCCCACGAGACACCCCGCGAAACATCCCAGGAGACACCTCACGAAACAACCCACGAGACACCTCACGAAACATTCCACGAGACACCCCGTGAAACATTCCACGAGACACCCCACGAACAGGCAACCACTCAACCAGACACCCCACGAAACATTCCACGGGGGTGCGACTGGGTGTGGTCGTGCTGGGGTGTGGTCGTGCTGGAGTGTGGTCGTGTGGGGTGTGGTCGTGCTGGGGTGTGGTCGTGCTGGGGTGTGGTCGTGCTGGGGGGTGGTCGTGCTAGGGGGGTGGTCGTGCTGGGGGGGTCGTGCTCGTGCTGGGGCGTGGTCGTGCTGGGGCGTGGTCGTGCTGGGGTGGGGTCGTGCTGTGGTGAGGTCGTGCTGGGGTGTGGTCGTGCTGGGGTGTGGTCTTGCTGGGGTGGGGTCGTGCTGGGGTGTGGTCGTGCTGGGGTGTGGTCGTGCTGGGGTGTGGTCGTGCTGTGGTGGGGTCGTGCTGGGGTGGGGTCGTGCTGGGGTGTGGTCGTGCTGGGGTGTGGTCGTGCTGGGGTGTGGTCGTGCTAGGGTGGGGTAGTGCTGGGGTGGGGTCGTGCTGGGGTGTGGTCGTGCTGGGGTGTGGTCGTGCTGGGGTGTGGTCGTGCTGGGGCGTGGTCGTGCTGGGGTGGGGTCGTGCTGGGGTGGGGTCGTGCTGGGGTGTGGTCGTGCTGGGGTGGTCCGCACCCTGTGATTTATCGATCGGGTCGTGCTGGGGTGTGGTCGTGCTGGGGTGTGGTCGTGCTGGGGTGTGGTCGTGCTGGGGTGTGGTCGTGCTGGGGTGTGGTCGTGCTGGGGGGTGGTCGTGCTGGGGGGTGGTCGTGCTGGGGGGGTCGTGCTGGGGGGTGGTCGTGCTGGGGCGTGGTCGTGCTGGGGCGTGGTCGTGCTGGGGCGTGGTCGTGCTGGGGTGTGGTCGTGCTGTGGTGAGGTCGTGCTGGGGTGTGGTCGTGCTGGGGTGTGGTCTTGCTGGGGTAGGGTCGTGCTGGGGTCGGGTCGTGCTGGGGTGTGGTCGTGCTGGGGTATGGTCGTGCTGGGGTGGGGTCGTGCTGGGGTGGGGTCGTGCTGGGGTCTGGTCGTGCTGGGGTGTGGTCGTGCTGGGGTATGGTCGTGCTAGGGTGGGGTCGTGCATTTCGCTCGAGACATCCTGCCAAAATTCCAGGAAATCGTACAAAAACAAAGGAATTAGTCGAGACATCATCGAAATTCCTTCGCGCGGGGCGCTTTTCCGCGTCGCGGTCGGCTCTGCAAAACAAGCGTTTCGCTCGAGACATCCTCGGCAAACTCTGCGGAGCAAGCGTTTCGCTCGAGACATCCTCAACACACGAAAAAGTGGCCCGCACCCTGTGATTTATCGATCGGGATTTCAAAAACAAGCGTTTCGCTCGAGACATCCTCAAATTTTAATTCGCCGGCCTCCTTCGACCTCGTTATTTATCAGGGAAAAAATTCGCCGGCCTCCCTCAAGTTGGCACCGGGGGACAGGTTTACCTACTAAAAGAGAACCCTGGGCCGGAGCCCTTTCCGGGAAAAATACTAAATCCCTGCAATCTTAATACATGATCCGCACGTGGAGCATGTATTAAAAACGGCACTGTACTTTGGATTCGCGCTCACAGGGCAACGAGCCTGGGAAAAGGATGCAGGATTCACGCTCTCCAGGGCCGCGCTCCCTCGCAGATTTTCCATGGAGCTCGCGCCCTCGAGGCCGCGGTCCCTCGTAGCTTTCGCGGGGCTCGCGCTCCCAGGGCCGCGCTCCCTTCTGAATTATGCTCCTCCTCCTCCTCCTCCTCCTCCTCCTCCTCCTCCTCCTCCTCCTCCTCCCCTTCCCCCTTCTCCTCCTCCTCCTCCTCCTCCTCCTCCCTCCCTCTCCCTCCCTCCCCCTCCTCCTCCACCACATCCTCCTCCTCCTCCTCCTCCTCCAACTCCTCCTCCTCCTCCTCCTCCTCCTCGTCCTTCCCCTCCTCCTCCTCCTCTTCCTCATCCCCTCGTCAACGGCGCTGTGCCCGCCCCCCCAGGGGCAGGATCGATGACAAATCACGCCGTGTCCGCCCCCCCAGGGCAGGGATTCCTTGCAAATTACGCTGCGTCCGCGCTCCCAGGGCCAAGATCCATCGTAAATTACGCTGCGTCCGCGCTCCCAGGGCCACAATCCATTGAAAATTACGCTGCGTCCGCTTGCCCTGGGCTACGATCCCTCGTAAACTATGCGTCCGCGCTCCCAGGGCCGCACTCCCTCGTGAATCACTATGTGTCCGTGCTCCCAGCGCCACGTTCCCAAGTAAATTATGCTGCGTCCGCGCTCCTAGAACCACCTGGGCATCCTGGGGCGCCCAGGCCGCTCAAGTTCTGCAAAAGAAGAGCTTCACTCGAGACATCCTCAGAGAGTCGGCGCGCAGGGCGCGCCATCCTCGAGCGGGCACGCAAAAAGTCGTTGTGTTGCATGTTCTGGCAAACTGCAAAGCCTCCAAGTGTCGTGTTTTATCGTGGATTCTGCGCAGAACGCTACGCATGTCGATGTTTGGCCATGGAAGACGTGTGTCCGCGGGCCTCGTGATGTATCGAAGATCCGAGATAAGGGGGCACATAGTCCTGGAGCGGGCACGCGCAAAACGCAATTAAAACAACATGATCGACCCACGAACCCGGAAAGGAATATAGAAATGTAAGACATGGCAACGTTTCAAAGATACCTGATTGGGCGACGGGCAAATGCAATGCTTAGTGTATCGATCTTGCTAGACATGCTAGACATCTGCCTGGGCAAACTGGAGGCGTGAAACCAAGCGTCTCGCTCGAGACATCCTCAAGACCTGGGCATGTGAAAACAAGCATTTCACCTGCGACATCCTCTGAATTCTGGTCCCCGGGAGAGGAACAAACTATTACTCAAAACAAACGTTTCGCTCGAGACATCCTCAACAATTTCTGAAAAGCCAGCGATTCGCTCGAGACATCCTCAGAATCTTGATTTGCCGGCCCACCCTTTCTTCGTTATTTTGTTGCAAAATAAATTCGCCGGCCCACCTCAAGTCGATTCCGGTGGTAAACTTCTAAAAAACAACCCTGGGCCCACGCCCTCTCCGGGAAAAACACAGAATCAAAACATCAGATCGTGTGACATTCGGGCCGAGGGGTAACGTTCGGAGGGAACCAGCTCAGGGGGGGAGCATCGGCCCGGAATCGGCGATACACCGCCGATGGATCGGCCAATTAGCCGCCGATAACGAAGCCGCACGGTCCTGGGCGGGGAGGGCTATGAGGCCCCCAACGGCGATGAATAGGCGATTTGGGGTCAATGCATTCCCGCCCCTGGGCATATGCGCCCCCCAGTGATGCTCCACGTCTAGCTTTCGGGTCCTGGCTCGGGTCTGGAGCGGCCGCTCGGGACGATCTGGGCACTTCGGGGACGCTCTGGCCGAGGCGCTGCTGCTGGAGAGCACCCCGAGGCTGGAAAACCGCCGAGATCCGACGACAACGCCCGAAGACCTCGATCCTCGAACCTCGAACTTTTAAGCCTGACCCCCACCCTCACTAGTGGCCTCATAGATGGGGTCCGAGCAGATGGAGTCGGAGGATCGCGCCGCATTGCCGATGCCTCGGCGATGCGGCTCGATAGGAAGCCCGACTTTCTACGCGCCGACGCATTGCCGATGCATCACCAACGTCGCCGAGGCATCGACGACGCGAGGCATCGGCGATGCATCGGCGATGCGGCGCGATCCTCCGACCCCATCTCTTCGGACCCCAATAAGGGAGGCCTGGACTCACGTTGCCCCTGGGCCCCTCCTCCTCCTCCTCCTCCTCCTCCTCCTCCTCCTCCCCCTCCCCCTCCTCCTCCTCCTCCTCCTCCTCCTCCCCTCCTCCTCCTCCTCCTCCTCCTCCTCCTCCTCCTCCTCCTCTCCTCCTCCTCCTCTCCTCATCATCATCATCATCATCATCATCATCATCATCATCATCATCATCATCATCATCATCATCATCATCATCATCATCATCATCATCATCATCCACCCCCACCCACCCCACCGAGCCTGTCGTGGCTGGCGGCCGCGTAGTGCCTCCCGCCCTCCAGGTCCGGCGAGCCCCAGCAGCGGCCCTTTCGCTGCGCGTGGACCCGCGCGGTCGCCAGGAGGAGGAGGAGGAGGAGGAGGCGGAGGAGGAGGAGAGGAGGAGGAGGAGGGAGGAGGGAGGAGGGAGAGGGAGGGAGGAGGGAGGAGGGAGGAGGGAGGAGGAGGAGGGAGGGGTGAGGAGGGAGGAGGGAGGAGGGAGGGAGGGAGGGAGGGAGGGAGGAGGAGGAGGAGGAGGAGGAGGAGGAGGAGGAGGAGGAGGAGGAGGAGGAGGAGGTACTCACTTCGGCACCACGGCCAGGACCTGTTGCTCGGCGCGTCGCCGCGGCGGCCCCGGCGACACGCTGTCCCTTGCGAGCGGATCGCGTGTCGCTCCGCTCCGCAGGGCGGGCCGTCGGGAAAAACATGATGGACCCACGAACCCGGAAAGGGATATAGACATGTGGAGCATGGGCACGTTTTCACGATACCCAACGGGGCAACACCTCACGAAACATCCCACGAGACACCTCACGAAACATCCCACGAGACACCTCACGAAACATTCCGCGAGACACCTCACGAAACATTCCACGAGACACCCCGCGAAACATTCCACGAGACACCCCACGAAACATTCCACGACGACAGGCAACCACTCAACCAAGGCGGTGTGGTCGTGCTGGGGAGTGGTCGTGCTGGGGTGTGGTCGTGCTGGGGGGTGGTCGTGCTGGGGGTGGTCGTGCTGGGGGGGTGGTCGTGCGGGGGGGTGGTTGTGCTGGGGCGTGGTCGTGCTGGGGCGTGGTCGTGCTGGGGCGTGGTCGTGCTGGGGCGTGGTCGTGCTGGGGTGTGGTCGTGCTGTGGGTGGTCGTGCTGGGGTGTGGTCGTGCTGGGGTGTGGTCTTGCTAGGGTGTGGTCGTGCTGGGGTGTGGTCGTGCTGGGGTGTGGTCGTGCTGGGGTGTGGTCGTGCTGGGGGTGGTCGTGCTCGTGCTGGGGCGTGGTCGTGCTGGGGGGGGTCGTGCTGGTGTGTGGTCGTGCTGGGGCGTGTCGTGCGTGCTGGGGCGTGGTCGTGCTCGTGGTGAGGTCGTGCTGGGGTTGGTCGTGCTGGGGTGTGGTCGTGCTGGGGCGTGGTCGTGCTGGGGTGGGGTCGTGCTGGGGTGGGGTCGTGCTGGGGTGTGGTCGTGCTGGGGTGGTCCGCACCCTGTGATTCATCGATCGGGTCGTGCTGGGGTGTGGTCGTGGTGGGGTGTGATCGTGGTGGGGTGTGGTCGTGTTGGGGTGTGGTCGTGCTGGGTGTGGTCGTGCTGGGGTGTGGTCGTGCTGGGGTGTGGTCGTGCTGGGGCGTGGTCGTGCTGGGGGGTGGTCGTGCTGGGGGTGGTGTGGGGGGTGGTCGGTCGTGCTGGGGAGTGGTCGTGCTGGGGTGTGGTCGTGCTGGGGGGTGGTCGTGCTGGGGGGTGGCCGTGCCGGGGGGGGGGTCGTGCTGGGGGGTGGTCGTGCTGGGGCGTGGTCGTGCTGGGGCGTGGTCGTGCTGGGGCGTGGTCGTGCTGGGGCGTGGTCGTGCTGGGGCGTGGTCGTGCTGGGGTGTGGTCGTGCTGTGGTGAGGTCGTGCTGGGGTGTGGTCGTGCTGGGGTGTGGTCTTGCTGGGGTAGGGTCGTGCTGGGGTCGGGTCGTGCTGGGGTGTGGTCGTGCTGGGGTATGGTCGTGCTGGGGTGGGGTCGTGCTGGGGTGGGGTCGTGCTGGGGTCTGGTCGTGCTGGGGTGTGGTCGTGCTGGGGTATGGTCGTGCTAGGGTGGGGTCGTGCATTTCGCTCGAGACATCCTGCCAAAATTCCAGGAAATCGTACAAAAACAAAGGAATTAGTCGAGACATCATCGAAATTCCTTCGCGCGGGGCGCTTTTCCGCGTCGCGGTCGGCTCTGCAAAACAAGCGTTTCGCTCGAGACATCCTCGGCAAACTCTGCGGAGCAAGCGTTTCGCTCGAGACATCCTCAACACACGAAAAAGTGGCCCGCACCCTGTGATTTATCGATCGGGATTTCAAAAACAAGCGTTTCGCTCGAGACATCCTCAAATTTTAATTCGCCGGCCTCCTTCGACCTCGTTATTTATCAGGGAAAAAATTCGCCGGCCTCCCTCAAGTTGGCACCGGGGGACAGGTTTACCTACTAAAAGAGAACCCTGGGCTCAGGCCCTTTCCGGGAAAAAGCTCGGAGCGTTGACACCTCGAGAATGTGGGGTGGACAGCGTGTCGCACCGAGGCGCGGTGGGCCAGAACCGGCGGAGCGAAACGTTGTCCAAAAGCTCCCGACTGGAAAACCCCGCACGCCCAGTGCCCCAGCTCGGTGTCATCCTGGCCTGGCCAGGGCGGCAGATCGACAATGGCAGCAGCACGACGCCATAAATTCTCACTTCAGCATTAAAAGCCCCGCCCGCCTCAGGCCCCAGGTCGATGACGGCAGATCGACAATTCACGAGCGACGAACACATCGGTATCCGCGCCCTCGCGGTCTGGATTCCAGGGCGCGATCCCGCGGATACGCGGTCGCACGGCTACGCTCGGCGCGGGGCACCCGCGGAAAACACGATCGACCCACGAACCTGGAAGGAAATATAGAAATGTAAGGCATGGCAACGTTTTCAAGACACCTGATTGGGCGACGGGCACTTGCAATGCTGAGTGTATCGATCTTGACGTACCTTGCCAAGGGCCGTGCTGTGCTGCGCCGTGCTGAACTGCGATGTGCCATGCCGCGATTGTGCTCTATAGCGTTGTGGATCGAGTCCCCGAGTCCCCCTTTGTTCCCGAGTCCTGACCGAACTGATCTGGATCCTAAGCTCGAGCTGCCTGAGCACATAGTAGCTGCCCCAAAGCTAATTAACAGGGGAACACGCCAGCGGGATGCGCCGTGGAACGTCCCAAGGGACGCGCCAGGGGACGTGCCAGGGGACGTGTCATGGGGACGCACCGCGGGACATGCCAAAGGGACGCACTACGGAACGTGACAATGGACGCGCAACGGGACGCGCAAGGAAACGCGTCGCGCGACGTGCAAGGGGGACTCGCCATGGGACGCGCCATGGAACGTGCCAGGGAACGTGCCAGGCGACGCGCCAGGGAACGTGCCAAGGAACGCGTCAGGGAACGTGCCGCGGGACGTCCCTGACCCAGGGCCAGAATCCATTGTAAATTACAATGCGTCCGCGCTCCCAGGGCCGCGATCCATCGTAAATTACGCTGCGTCCGCGCTCCCAGGGCCACGATCCCTTGTAAATTACGCTGCGTCCGCTCTCCCTGGGCAGCGAAGCGATCCCTTGTAAACTACGCTGCGTCCGCGTTCCCAGGGCCGTGCTGCCTCGTGACATTTCGCTGTGTCCGCGCTCCCAGGGCCACGTTCCCCGGTAAACTACGCTGTGTCAGCCCCCCAGGGGGCCAGGATCACCTGAAAACTACGCTGCGTCCGCGCTCCCACAGGGCCACGATCCATCGTGATGTGCACTGCGTCCGCGCTTCCAGGGCCACGCTCCCCCATAACTCACGCTGCGCCCGCGCTCCCTGGGCACAGCGATCCCTCGTCAACTACCCTGCGTCTGCGCTCCGAGGGCCACGTTCCCTGGAGAATTGCGCTGCGCCCGCCCCCCCCCCCAGGGCCAGGATCCCCCGCACGTTACGCTGACGCCTCGCTCCCAAGGCCACGATACGTCGTAAACTACGCCGCGTCCGCGCTCCCAACTCCACGATCCCCTGGAAACTACGCTGCGTCCGCTGTACGCTGCGTCCGCGCTCACAGGGCCACGTTCCCTGGTGAATTACGCTGTGTCCGCCCCCCCAGGGCCACGTTCCCTGGCAAATTACGCTGAGTCCGCGCTCCAAGGGCCACGATACATCGTCAACTACGCTGCGTCCGCGCTCCCAAGCCCACGATCCCTTGGAAATTACGCTGCGTCCGCTGTACGCTGCGCCCGCGATCCCAGGGCCACGATCCCTGGTAAACCAAGCTGCGTCCACGCTCCCAGGGCCACTATCCTTCGGAAATTACGCTGCGTCCGCACTCCCAGGGCCCCCTGGGGCATCCCTGGGCGTCTAGGCTCCTGGAAGTCTCCGAAACAAACGGTTCGCTCGAGACAGCCTCAACGAGTCATGCAAAACGAGCGTTTCGCTGCAGACATCCGCAGCAAACGAAAATGCATACTTCACCCCGTGTTTTATCGATCGGGATATAATCATAACAATACTAACAATCATAACAATCATACTAATACAAATAAGAATAGTAAGTATGATAATGATAACAACAATAATAATAATAATAATAATAATAATAATAAGAGTAAGAGTGATAATAATTAAGATGATAATAATAATACTAATAATAATGCGAATAATACGAATAAGAAGAAGAAGAAGAATGATAATAATAACGATAATAACGATAATAACGATGATAATAATAATAACGGTGATGATGATGATGATGACGATGATGATGATGATGATGATGATGATGATGCTGACGATGATGATGACGATGATGATTATGATGATGATGATGATGATGACGATGACGATGACGGTGACGATGGTGCTGATGATGATGATGATGATGATGATGATGATGATGATGATGGTGATGGTGATGGTGATGGTGATGATGACAATGATGGTGATAATGATGCTGATGATGTAGATGGTAGATCTGATATCGATGATTGAAAACTACGAGCTTCCCGTACAAAACAAAAAGGAAAGGCATCAAAAGGTAAATATGTCTATCAATGTCCGGAGAAACATGATGGACCCACGAACCCGGAAAGGGATATAGACATGTGGAGCATGGACACGTTTTCATGATACCCAACTGGGCAACACCTCACGAAACATCCCACGAGACACCTCACGAAACAGCCCACGAGACACCTCACGAAACATTCCACGAGACACCTCACGAAACATTTCACGAGACACCCCGCGAAACATTCCACGAGACACCCCACGAAACATTCCACGACGACAGGCAACCACTCAACCAAGGCGGTGTGGTCGTGCTGGGGAGTGGTCGTGCTGGGGTGTGGTCGTGCTGGGGGGTGGTCGTGCTGGGGGGTGGTCGTGCGTGCTGGGGTGGTGGTCGTGCTGGGGGGTGGTCGTGCTGGGGCGTGGTCGTGCTGGGGGGCGTGGTCGTGCTGGGGCGTGGTCGTGCTGGGGCGTGCTGTCGTGCTGGGGCGTGGTCGTGCTGGGGTGTGGTCGTGCTGTGGTAAGGTCGTGCTGGGGTGGGTGTGCTGGGGTGCGTTGCGATCGGGTCGTGCTGGGGTGTGGTCGTGCTGGGGTGTGGTCGTGCTGGGGTGTGGTCGTGCTGGGGAGTGGTCGTGCTGGGGTGTGGTCGTGCTGGGGGGGTCGTGCTGGGGGGTGGTCGTGCTGGGGGGTGGTCGTGCTGGGGGGTGGTCGTGCTGGGGGGGTGGTCGTGCTGGGGCGTGGTCGTGCTGGGGCGTGGTCCTCAAATTCAGGTCCCCAGGAGAGGACAATCTATAACACAAAACAAGCGTTTCGCTCGAGACATCCTCACCATTTTCTGAAAAACAAGCGTTTCGCTCGAGACATCCTCAAATTTTAATTCGCCGGCCTCCTTCGACCTCGTTATTTATCAGGGAAAAAATTCGCCGGCCTCCTTCAAGCAGGCACCGGGGGATTAGTTTACAAACTAAAAGAGAACCCTGGGCCGGCGCCCTTTCCGGAAAAAAAAAAAAAAAAAAAAAAAAAAAAAAAAAAAAAAAAAAAAACTGACCGCGGCGGGCCTCGGCCGCGCACCGCGGCTACCCCCGGCCCGTCCTGGACCTCGAGGCGAGCACACGCCCGGAGGCCAAGAGCCCCCTCCTCCGCAGGGCGGGATGCCGGCGCGAGGCGGGGCTCTGCAGGGCAGGCTTTAGTACATAGGATTTCTAAGAATATAGGATTTTTTATACACGACTACTTCATGAATAAATGTATGCATCAACTCATTGTTGCTTGTAATACTAAATCCCTGCATTTTTAATACATGATCCGCACGCGGAACATGTATTGAAAACGGCACTGTATCCACATCCACCGCCGTGGGAGCCGACGTCCTGGCGCCCCAGCAGGCGGCGGATATGGATACTCTTCGGCCCCGGGAGGCCAGAGCCCCCTCCTCCGCAGGGCGGGATGCGGGTGCGGGGCGGGGATCTATCCATATCCACCGCCGTGGGAGCCGACGTCGTGGTGCCCCTGCAGGCGGTGGATCTGGATATGCTTCGGCCCCCGGGGGGCCCGAAAACAGTCGGACTTGATCGGAGAGGACACGCGAGAGGGCACAAGACCCTTCCGAGGACACAGCAATGCAGGAGGCACGGGTCGCAAGACACAGGACACGAGGGTACCCTTGATCTGGCAGGGTCGACCTACTTATCTGGGCCGCCTGTATGTCCTCATCCACCGCCTGCCGAGATGCCCGAGATTGATCCTCCAGGCGGTGGTCATGTACAAATTCCCGCCTCGGAGCTGCGAAAGCGGCGCGGGACGCTGGCGCTTGCTGGCGGCGCGCAGGGGGGGGGCCAAGGGGGAGGGCGGGGAGGCTGCTTCGAAGGAGGCCGCTTCTCAGAAGGCGGCGGCCCGACATCTACAGACGAGGCCCGCGCCTTTTACGAAGCAGCCTCCTTCTCTGAGAAGCCTTCTGCGCGTGGCTGACCTTGAGGATGGAGACATGGATCGCGTGTCGCGCCGAAGCGTGATGGGCCAGAACCGGCGGAGCGACGCGATGAACCAAGAAGCTCCCGACCGAAACCTCGAACCTCAAGCCTGCCGTCGTCCCCTGAGTCGATCTCCCCCCCAATGAGGGACAACGAAAGGGAGGGGTAGGCATGGGGGGACGCATCGAACTCGAATGGCCGATACATCGCCCATGTCTCGTGGATACATCGTCGATGGAGACGCCCCATGTATCGTCTATACATCGTCGATGTATCGCCCTGATACCCAAGGGGTATCGTCGATGTAGCAACCGAGGTCGATGCATCCCCCCTACGTATGCGGGGGAAACCAAGAGGTACCGATACCGCTACTCCCCGGACCTCTCACGGGTTGCCTTCTGACCCGGATTTCGAAACGAATCCAGCGGTGGCGACGAGGGCCACCCAGACGGCCCGGAGAGGCGAAAACGAAGGAATGGTAGCGGCATGGGCATTCCACATTCCGCAATGACAGGGCGGGGGCCACAACCCGCCCTGACGAGCAGTTTTAGACCCCCTTCCCAGACCAGCCATGAAAAGGGCGGCCTTTTGCCCAGACCCCCTGGAACCCTCCAAGGCAGCTCAAACCAGACCCCCAAAAATCAGACCCTCCTCAAAGTTACTGCGAAATCAAGAGAACACTCGGACCCAGGACAGAAGAACATCCTTCAAGAACATGAAGCCCTCCGCTGGCCCACTGGCCCAAACTGAAGAACATTCGAGGGTGCCCTCCCAAGGATGAACAAGAACGCCCAACAAACACGAAGACCACGAGGGTACCCTCCCCGAGCCGACCTCGACCTTATACCTCGGTCCGACCGCACCTTGTCCTCCTCCGCCCCCACGCCCATCCACCCACCGATCGCTGCTCCCGAAGCCCAACGCTGCCCCTGGCGACCTCCCCGGCGAAGGGGGGCGGCGGGGGCCTGCACCGCTGCGCTCCTCTTGGCCCGCTGCGCGTCGGCGGACGACGCCGACGCCTCCCGCCACTTCCCCCGCGCGCGCGCGCGAGGGGAGGAGGAGGAGGGAGCAGAAGCAGGAGGAGGGCGAGGGTCGAGGAGGAGCAGGAGGAGGAGGAGGAGGAGGAGGAGCAAGAGAAGGAGGAGGAGGAGGAGGAGGAGGAGGAGGAGGAGGCTGGAGCGCCTCAGGGGGGGGGCGCGGGCCATCCCACACTAACTAGGCCGATCTGCCGCACTCGCGCGCGCGCCCGCTCACCGTCGTGCTTAATCAGGTTGCACACGTGCACACGCAGCGCAGACGAGGAGAGGCGGAGGGCGAGGAGGTCGGAGCGGCGGAGGCAAGGGGTGGAGCGAGAGGCACAGGCCTCACTCCAGACCTTGGATTCCTGGACCATGTGCGTCACACTCTGGCCCGTCTTGAACTCCAGGGACCGCAGACGTGCGTGTCGATCGGCTCCGAAGTCGGCCGTGGCCGCGGCGCTCGCGCCAGCCGCCGACGCGCTCCATCGTCCCGCCCGCAGTTCAGCACGTCGCACAGCCTCCTGATGCGCCGCAGCCGCAACATCTCGGCGCCGCGCCCCACGATGGGGGGCAGCAGGGAGACTAGCGGCCCGCGCAGCATGAGTATCAGCGCGATCCCGCCCAACATCATCTCCAACTTCACCACAATCTGCGGCAACATCAGCACCAGCATCATCTCCACGCCGGTCTGCGGCTCCAAGAGGTAGAGCACCCACTCCACGACCATGCCCGAGCAGACCCAGAACTCCAGCGGGCGTCAGCAAGCAGACAAGCGGCCGGACGTCCGTCGGCGGCTGCACCGGGATCGAGACGCTCGTCGGCAGACTCACGACGATCTGCATCACGGGCAGCGCGACCATCATCGCCGCGTCGGTCTGCGGCTCCAGGCAGAGGATCCGCACGCACACCCCGAAGAGCGGCAGCGGCTCCATCGCGAGAGCCCCGATCACCAGCAGTTCAGCGCGACGACCTGCGGCAGCTCCACCCGCGGAGGCCGCGCCTGCACCATGTGGTCCAGCAAGCAGGCGCCCGCAGGGATCCGACATCTTTCTCATGTCCAGTAGCCCGCGCGAGGAGCCTGACGTCAACACTCGGATGCCGCGAAGGTGGGATATCACCAGCTCCATGACCAGCTTCTCGAGGAAGAACATGGTCCCGCCCATCCGCAGGAACATAAACATCCTTGGAACTCGGAATTTCCACGAGAGCGGCAGGGTCACGTCCAGCTGCTCCACAACGGTCAGCGGCAGCACTAGGACGAAGGTCGGCACGGTCACATCCGACAGCCTCTTCGCGGCGGTCTGCAGCAGCGCCAGCACGAGAGCCATCTCCACGTCGATCTCCGCAGAGAACGTACGGCGCCTCCACGATAGTCTCGCCCTCATGCTCGTGCTAGAAGCGGCACATGTCACCACGCGAACAGATGTCGTCTGTTAAAACTTCCACAGATTCGTCTTGTGAGGCAGACCGGGCTGCCGTTGCGCACCAGGGGCGCTCCATGAGCAGGCCTTGGAATTGGTCGGTGATCACAACCGGGCCCTCGGAGAGGGTGACGTGGCGCTGCGCCCGCATCCGCTGCTCGCGCGCCGCGATAAGGTCGCTGGTCTCCGCGCACCGTTACTCGTCATCGGCGGCCTTTTTGGGATCTGCGACTCTACGGTCGCAGGATTTCGCGTACTGCTGCTCACGGTCGCGTAGCCGTTGCAGGACCCGAACTGCTGAGTCATCAATCTTCTGAGCGAACGCCGCGAGGCCATCCCACTTCGCGCGCTGCTGCTCGTCGTCGGTGGACTTCTTAGAATCAGCCGCCAACTGCACTGCCGCCCCGCCGCCGCCCAGATTGCACAACATAGATGTTCAAAGGAATTCGGATCGACGACCCCCCCGAAGCCGGGATTATCGGTCCCCCATGGGGATGTGCACTTTAGGTCAGATTCCGCACCATTGCTGTCTAAACATGAATCCAGACCATCCTAGACAAGCCAGCACCGACCCCACCATTTTTACTCCACGCCAAATAGTTCCATAGTTGCAGAAATACGTTTGCGCAAAATGTGACGATGTGCGCACGCGCGCGTCGTCGCGCGCACATGCCAGAATGAGACACGAAATTGTAAATGCATGTATGTATGTATACAGATTACACCCAAGAGAAACGTCGGTTTCGCAATAATGTCAACATGGAATACCCCGAAAACCATTTCGTTTCTTAAATTGTGTACACATGTGTATATATAAGATAAAAACAAAAACAACAACAACCAAAAAAATTGACAAACTGACTGTTCAGGACAACTGCGCGGGCGCATGTGCGAATTCTGATTCAGACAATGCGCATTTCAACAGCTTCATCGATTCCGACCAAACGGGCCCTTCGCGCGCACATGCCAAATTCACTCGAACGCCTCTGCGCGCGTGCGAAGGGGTGCGGGGCACGATCCTTGTCAAATAAGACCATGCGGACCACCCGCGCCCATCGGCCGCGCGCGCAGGCCGAAATCTCTCCGCAACCTTCATCACCGACACGTGGGCGCCACCGTGATCACCATCGGCGCCGTCATTGGCCCTGCCCTCGTCACCGTCAGCATATCACTGTCGTGGCTGCCGTCATCGACGTCGCCATGGTGCCGCACCCGCGCGAGCCACCGACTCGTACTGCAGTGCCCGCGCGTCAGCGCGGCCTGCAAGATGCACTCGGAAGTCCCCAACGGTCAACGCCACCGCGGCCACGTCGGTCGCGCCAGACTGGTTGGCCGCTCTGCGCGCGAGCCTGCGCAAGCGCGGCCGCAGCGATGCGCTAGCCAGCTGCATGCAATCGTTGCAATCGCCGCCGCATGGGTTTTGCAGATCAAATTGCAGGTGGGCGGGCGGGATGATTGCGCGAACAGTGGAGTTGACAACTCGCGAGTGGACACCAGTTAACGCACCACATACTTTGCTCCACATATTGCAAAACATATATTGTACAACAAGGACTGCACCACATAGATTGCACCACCAAGATTGCTCGACAACGATTGCACAACATAGGTTGTACAATATAGATTGCACAACATAAACTGCTTGTCTGATATTACGCCACGTAGATTACACCACATAGACTGAACAGCGTACATTGCTAGAAGCAAAATGCTTGAAGTACACGGCGGCTAACATGTATTTTCGGGAAGAGGAGAGCGACGGCGACGACGGCGAGGGCGGCGAGGACGAGGAGGGCGGCGACGAGGAAGAGAAGGGCATGCCCGAGTCTTGCCCACCAGCCGCCGACCGCCAGGCTGTGCAGCTCGGCGGCGACACAGACGGTGCCGACGGCGAAGACGACGAACGGCGCCGGACGGCAACGACGTCCGCTGAGATCCTGGGGTCTCAATTTTTTCCGAGCAAGGCGTTTTCGCCCAGTTCAGGGCCCGGGTCCCTCACAGATCGACCTGGCTCGAAAAATGGAAGCGAAAGGTGGGGTCCAGGGCTCTGGTCGTGATTTTTCACAATGGTGCATTCTTTCGCTACGTGGGATCTCAAGGTCACCGACGACATCGGCGACGACAACGACGACGACGACGATAACGACGACGACGATGACGACGACGACGTCACCGAAGACGACGACGACCACGACCACGACGACGACGACGATGACGACGATGACGACGATGACGATGACGACGACGACGTCACCGAAGACGACGACGACCACGACGACGACGATGATGACGACGATGACGACGGTGACGACGACGACGACGACGACGACGACGACGACGACGACGACAACGACGACGACGTCACCGACGACGACGACGACTACGACGACGACGAAGACGACGACGGCAGAGCCTCCAGCAGCGACCGCCGCCCTGTCGTGCCCGGGTCCTCGTCGCCGTCGCAGTCCTCCACCTGGAGGGGCTGGGGGCGCAGATCGGATCGGGGCAGGGGCTCCTCCTCCCCCTTCTCCTGCCTCGTCCTTCCCAGTTTCCTCGTGATCTTTGTCGTCCTCCTCCTCCTCCACCCCCTCCTCCTCCTCCTCCTCCTCCTTCTCCTCCTCCTCCTCCTCCTCCTCCCCCTTCTCCTCCTCCTCCTCCTCCTCTCCTCCTCTCCTCCTCACCCTCCCCTCCTCCTTCCTCCTCCTCCTCCTCCCTCCTTCTCCTCCTCCCCCTCATCCTTCTTCTTCGTGTTCGGCCGCGATTCGGTCCTCGCGGGCAATGGCCGGCAGGCTAGCTTAGCGCAAACTTAACCGATTCTATAGATTCCCGTCCCGCGACACTGCCGGCTAGCTCACCAGGGCCCGTCAGTCCACGACGGCGCGGGGTCTGTTGGATCACCCGCTGGCCCCCCACGGATATGTTTGCCTCTTGCCCACCTGCCCTGCCGAGCCCAGGTCTGGCGCCACCTGTGCCTCGCGCGCTAGCGCCGCTCTTCCTCTCCTCCTCCTCCTCCTCTTCCTCCTCCTCCTCCTCATCATCATCATCATCCTCATCAGCCTCATCATCATCATCATCATCATCATCATCATCATCATCATCATCATCATCATCATCATCATCATCATCATCATCATCATCATCATCATCATCATCATCATCATCATCATCATCATCATCATCATCATCATCATCATCATCATCATCATCATCATCATCATCATCATCATCATCATCATCATCATCATCATCATCATCATCATCATCATCATCATCATCATCATCCTCTTGTTATCCTTATTTATCTTATTATTTGTATGATTGGTAGAATAAGTATCAGTAGTGTTCTCATTCGCAGTAGTAGTAGTAGTAGTAGTCGTCGTCGTCGTCGTCGTCGTCGTCGTCGTAGTCGTAGTCGTAGTCGTAGTCGTAGTCGTAGTCGTAGTCGTAGTCGTAGTCGTAGTCGTAGTCGTAGTAGTAGTAGTAGTAGTAGTAGTAGTGTTAATATTAGTGTTAATATTAATATTATAACTATTCGTACTAGTATGATTTTTCCTTTCAGTAGTATCATTGGTGTTATTATTCTACTAAGTAGTATTCCGACTCTTAATCATAGTCTTACTAATTTGCTGTATCTGAGTAGCAATACTACGTTTAGAATTACTGTATTATGACAATGCTTGTTATTACGAGTTGCATGATTATTGGTATTAGTAGTAGTGCTATTATTGTACGTCCTCATATGTGTACGATTCATCTTCTTAGTAAGATTATGACTCGTTCACTTTAAAAGATGGTATGACAAATATTCGTCATACTATTCCTCCTCATCTGCCTCCTCCTCCTCCCATCTCTTCCTTCCTTCTGCTTATCCTCCTCTCCTTTTCCTCCTCCTCCTTTTCCTGTTCCTCCTCCTCCTCCTCCTTCTCCTCTTCTTCCTCCTCCTCCTCCTTCTCTTCCTCTTCCTCCTCCGCCTCCTCCTCCTCCTCTTCCTCCCCCACTTCCTCCTCCCATCGTTTCCCTCCTCCTCCTCCTTTTCCTCCTCCCCTCTCCTCATCTTCCTCCTCCTTCTCCTCCTCTTCCTCTTCCTCCTCCACCTCCTCCTCGTCCTCCGCATCCTCCCCCGCCTCCTCCTCCTCATCATCGTCGTCATCATCATCAACAGCAGCATCATCAACATCATCATCATCATCATCAGCATCAGCATCAGCATCAGCATCATCAGCATCATCAGCATCATCAGCATCGTCAGCAGCATCATCATCATCAACAACAATATCATCATCATCATCATCAACATCATCATCATCATCATCATCATCAGCATCATCATCAGCATCATCATCATCATCATCATCATCATCATCATCATCGTCATCAGCATCATCATCATCATCCTCAACAGCAGCAGCCAAATCATCAGCATCCGCAGAATCCTCAACATCACCATCATCACCAGCAGCAGCAGCATCAGCATCGTCATAAATAGCAGCATCAGCATCCGCGTCAGCATCATCACCATCATCATCAGAATCAGCATCATCAGCAGAATCAACATAATCGTCATCATCAGCATCATCAGCATCATCAACATCCTCATCCTAATAACCATTCTCAACATCATCCTCATCATCATCATTACCATCCTCATACACATCCCCATACGCATCACCAACATCATCATCAACAACAGCATCCCCCCTTCATCGTCAACATCAGAAGCAGCAGCATCACCAATATCCCCATCGTCATCATCAGCATCATCATCAGCATTATCACCATCATCATCATCAGCATCATCATCATCACCATCAGCATCATCATCAGCGCCATCATCATCATCATCATCGTTCCCACCATCCTTCTGGGCATTCGTCCTCCACCTCCTCATCCCCACCTCCTCATCCGCCTCCTCCTCTTCCTCCTCCTCCTCCTCATCGTTCTCCTCCTCCTTCTCATCCTCCTCCTCATCATCATCATCCTCCTCCTCATCCTCCTCTTCCGCCACATCCGCCTCTTCCGCCTCCTCATCCTGACCCTCCTTCTCATCGTCAGCCTCCTTCTCATCCTCGCCATCATTAT